CCAGTGCACCCCTGATCCCAGGGAAGTGGCCAGCTAGACCATTTCAACGGATCCATATTGATTTCTGTCAAAAGGGTAATGATTACTTCCTTTTAGTAATCGATAGCCACTCAAAGTGGATTGAAGTGAAACATAGGAGCTCTACAACTACTGAACGGACTATTGATGAGCTCCGTTTAATTTTTGCTACTCATGGTTTATCTGAAGAGGTGGTGTCTGACAACGGACCACAGTTTACGTCCGCTGAATTGGCCGAATTCATGCGCAAAAACGGCATCAAGCACACGTTGGTTCCACCCTGTCACCCTCAATCTAATGGAGCAGCGGAGAGGTCTGTGAGAGTTGTTAAGGATGCTTTAGTTAAACAAGTGCTTGAGGGTAAAAGGGCATCTCTATGAAACACAGACTTGCTAATTTTCTATTTCGGTATCGCACAACCCCTCACAGTACAACTGGTGTGACCCCCGCTGAGTTGATGGTGAAGCGTCGCCTAAGAACAAGGTTAAGTCTGATTAAGCCTAATCTGGCACAAGTTGTAGAGAATAAGCGAGAGAAACAGAAAATGTATAAGGATTTGAAATGTAAGAGGGAAAGATCCTTTGTAAGAAATGACAGGGTGCGGGTACGAAACTCGAGGGCTAATTNAAGCACACGTTGGTTCCACCCTATCACCCTCAATCTAATGGGGCAGCGGAGAGGTCTGTGAGAGTTGTTAAGGATGCTTTAGTTAAACATGTGCTTGAGGGTAAAGAGGGCATCTCTATGAAACACAGTCTTGCTAATTTTCTATTTCGGTATCGCACAACCCCTCACAGTACAACTGGTGCGACTCCCGCTGAGTTGATGGTGAAGCGTCGCCTAAGAACAAGGTTAAGTCTGATTAAGTTGTAGAGAATAAGCAAGAGAAACAGAAAATGTATGAGGATTTGAAATGTAAGAGGGGNAAGATCCTTTGTAAGAAATGACAGGGTGCGGGTACGAAACTCGAGGGCTAATTCTAAGACTGATAAGTGGATTCCAGGCACTATAATTAAAGTTTGTGGGCCCAGAACCTATGTAGTCAGGACAGGACACAAAACCAGATATGTACACACTGATCACATGATAAGAGCACATGACAATGTACCAGATGATGTCAGTGAGCCAGATATCGTGGTGCCTGAATGAAGTGGTCAGACAATAAATGATGAGAATGTGAATCCTCTCGATAGTACTTCTGAACCAAATGTAGATCTACCTGAAAGCGAGGATACTGTTGTATCTCCTTTAGTTGTAAGTAGTCCACCTACAGTTTTGCGAAGATCTCAAAGGATTAGAAAACCAGTTGTTAAACTTAACCTGTACTTGTAGGTTATCACTATGTCTTGGGTATAAGTGCATCCTGAAAATCTGGGGGAAAGCAGTGTAATATATTCGTAACCGGAAGCTATGTTAAGCTGTTGTATTACCCAAGATGCTTAGAGAATAAAGCTGTTGTGTTGAGCAAGCCTCGTGAACTT